AAGAGGTTATAAGAATGCGACATGTGTAGGACTGGTTGAGAATGGTTCCTAATGCAGACATTAGTACCGGTAGTACTGAAAATTCGAGTTCTATTGCCAGAGATTTAATTGAAAAATGCAGATATAGTGAAGATGTGAATCTTTGAGGTGGTGTCTAAAAATTATTGGGTTTTGGTAATCTAGGCTGTTGGAAGTTAGTAAAGGGAATAGAGAAACGGTCCATTAGGACATACAAATATTAATATTGGTCTCATGTAAGATACACGTTCATTTACTGATAAACCGGAACGTAACTGTTAAAGGGATATTGTGTTCAGGGCCTCTAAAAAGAGGTAAGTTGATTTTGTTTTTTATGGAGCAAAACAGTACTCTTATGCGGAAAAATCTTTGCGGCAAGTCATTTAATTCCTTCTGGGAGCCAGAAAGTGACACTTGCTTTTCATTTTATCAGTGAACATACAGCATATAATTTCAGAGAGTCATCACCCCTCACTCAAAATAGGAGAAATAAAACTCAAAATTAAATCATATAGTCCAGCGGTCTGCAACTTGCTGCCTGTCGATATGCTTCCCTTCGCTCACAATATCTATTACAAGCAGCATGATATGTATAGGCTGAATTATATTTTAAAAGACCTAGTTAATTAAAAACTCTGCTAACCCAGGCCCGTATGCAGATGAAGACAAAGAAATAGTTGATTATGATCTTCTGGGTTTGTGACGCCGTGTGGTCGTCACCGCCGAAAGAACTTCAAATTTGAGAGTAAACCTTGGTATTACGCAAAGGACAGGAAATGTATTCATTGGCTAAACGACTATTAGCTTTTCAATAAGAAGTTAGTTATATACGTCTCTGAGACAGGTGATTATGAATATTGGAAAACGCGAGGTGTTTCTGGAGTTGTGCGTGTGTTGTCTCCTGTCTCGTTGCCCGAAATTTGTTTTTTCGAGACGTAGGCACGTGTTATGTAAGACATTCTCTTAGTGTATCTCCTGAAGGGCAAATAATCGTGAAAAACATAAATCCACTTAGCTCGACTTAAAGCTATGCTTTTTTATCACAATGGCTTTGTGTTTCTAGAAATGTTGGTAAAAAATCTTTTCCATCGAACAATAGCTTCAAAATAATGATTTTACCACACGCGCCCCATTTCCAAGAAGCAGGTTTTTTTGTTTGAAAATGAAAAGTCTGACTTTTATAAAATAAATCGCATTAAGAAACATGTATATGTTGCATAATATTGCAGACTGTGTAATGAGCTCATAAGAGGGTCCAGTGCTGGCAGATCAGCAGCAAAGTGGAACGGCATGAAGTGCTGTCGAAATTTCCAATTCCTGAAGCTCGGTAAAGAGGAATTGGAGAGTGGAAAGGGGGGGGGGGGTTGTTGTGAAGTCCAGAGAGAAATCGTTTTTCTATTTTAATGGTCTGGACTCGTCCAAGCTTCTGTACTAGGTATACGAGACTCAGGATTGGGTGGCCATTAAATGTGGATCGAGAAGGTGAGACGTCTGTTTCTGAGACGGCCTTTCTTTGTGTCATCGAGCTCGTAGATGATACGTCTATCAGTAGGGCACCTGTCAGACCTTACTTCCACGATAATATTACGTTTATAACGCTATAGGGGTCCCAGCTTAACCCGAACACTTTCATCACAAGAAGAAAGACCTTGCAAGTCCTTCGTCATTGAGTCGGAATGGCTGCAGTGTGTTGGGCTTTATTTCTAATAGTGGTCGAGGGTTTTCTTTTCTTAGCCACGTTTATCCAGCTTTCTATCCAATGGGTATCGGGAAGTATGGGTCTTTCTTCGAGGACAAATCGGCCGGAGCATGTAGTGAAGAGGTTAAGAAAAAGTGGAGCTTTATATTAACGCCTCGTACGAATTGATTCAGAAAAGAGAGAACTTTGTTTTGCATCTTAACGTGCTTCTAGTATACCTCTCGCTATCTGTACTTAGTCATACGTCGCATAAATCATTTCTTGCTTTAACTGTATCAACAACAAAAGAATAAGTATTTAAAATTGCAGTTTATAATTAATAATTCTTTGGTTCCTCTCTTTCGTAAAACTTATTTTCGAATGTTATACAAATTTCTTCTCTTAGAGCAAGATACAATATTCTAGAACCGCACAAATCTGCGTCTCGAAATCTTTTTTTTGTCTAGCTAGAAATTAAGATTGACTAATTATTTATCGGAAGTCAGTTGACCAGTTATCGAAGCAAGCAACATGGGAATTCGCACGTACAACCAACAAGGATTTATTTCAGTGCTTTATTTGTTAATCGCGGGCTATTGACTGCCGCACCTGGAACCTATCGAAGCCAGCTCCAGAGTGAAAATAGTATTGTGAATTAGATTTTTGAACTAACACTTTACTAAACGGGGGGATAATGGAAAAGTGCAGCAGTAAACAAAGCAATGTCAGACGTTGGCGACTCTCGTGTCGATGGTGAGTGACGGCTCCCAAATAATTCATTTGTTCGCGCGAGGAAAGCTTGGCAGAACACACACACACAAAACAAAAAAAACAGTGGTGCAGTTGCCGGATGCTGGTGGCAAGGCGATGCGGCAAATCAAAACTTAATTGAATGCAGCATTGATCGATGTTTTATTGTCGGTACTGCGGTCGCCGGCAATTTCCGGACGTCAGGAGTGCAGTATCCGTGTTAGGCGAAACCGAAATGGAGAGAAGGGAGTGTGGGAATAAAAGAGGGTTTCAAAATCCATCCCCCTCAGTGTCCTGTATCCTACTTGTTTTGTGCCAATTGTAAGTTTGATGTGATTAAAAATAAAATAAATTTTGGACATATTTGGGTCTGTTAATTATTAATACTGCCAAAACAGAATGGGACTTGATAGAGCGCTATCTGGAGACCCATGTAACAAGGCCTGCAGTGCCCATTCTATTTTCAGTAATTTTTCCCCATTGCAGTAAATTAACTCGTTTCCCACTTTATCCTGAACGCATCAAATTCAGAACGTGACATATAATTAATTATTCTGAATT